CAATTATACTGTTCATCTCAGTTTTTAACCCCTGGACTTGATTCTTTTCTTCTTCTAATTCTTTCAGGCTGACTTCTTTTTCTTCATGGAGTTTTTGAACTCTACGAGCCTCAACTTTATACTGCTTGATCAATTCCTTTTTATCGGCCTCTAGCTCGCATACTTTGCTTTTCCAGCTTCTATCTTCTTGATCTGACACTTGTTCTCAATTTCCAGACTTTTGATTCGCCGTCTTGCAGCTGCTAATTCTCTGGATCCAAGTCTCTTTCTCACTTGCTGCACCATTTGATAATCCTTTTTTAAGTCTTCTAAATCGGCTTCCACCTCCTCTTTCCGTTCTCTCATCATTATAAACTGTCTGGCATGAAATTCAGCCTCAATAGTCAACATGAAGTTTTCTCTCTCCATCTCTTCTATTTTCTTGGAATCTTTAGCCTTTTCCATTTCAAACTCAATTCTTTGGATTTCCAAATTCGAAGGGATATTTCTGATTTGTTCTTCTATTGACCTTGATCCCTCTCCAGATGTTAAAGGTATCTTATCATTTACCCTCCTGATTCTCCAGGCTTCATAATCAGGCGTCAAGATAACATCCGCTCCAATTACTTTAGTCCTAAAAGTCATCCTCCAGGAATCAGCCACATCTTTGATCTTCTTTCTATAATTGCCTTCTTTATAATCAAATTCAGCACCAGTCAACCCATGAGTCACAGGAACAAACTGTCGGGCACCGTACTGTCTCAATATCAACAAAGGAGCGTATCCCACTCCTCCCCATAGTCCCAGTAATATAATCCAGTCCAAATCTCCACACTTGAACAAGATTTGTGTATGCATCAGCCACGGTGTTCGCCATGCTATGTTTTGACTCTGTAGATTCCGGAAGAAATCAATCCATTGATCTTTCTGAGATACTTCAGGCCACTCCTTCGTAAGGTACTCAGCAACAGGAGAATAATCTTTCAAAAAACGATTATAGTTGACTTTTCTTCCTTCCAGAAATGGCTTCTGATCCACACAGTAAGCAATTGAGCACAGCCCATAAAACGACCTCCCCCCTAACCTTCTACATATATTCAAAGATCGAAAAGTTTCAGCAAGAATCGCATGGACTGGATTCACCTCTCTTCCTAACTTCTCAACCAAATCGACTACTGCTAGCTCGATCAGCCCCAAACATTTTGGAAAGATTACCAAACCATATATACCCAAAGCAAATACATCTCTACGCACGTTTTCATCTACGTGTGCTTCAGCTATCTTTTGTAAGTGAGACCACGGCACTCCCTCACTTTCTCCCTTGCGTTGCAAGCGATCATTTACCCATTTGTCGCTTGTGCCCGAGATCTTTGCAAGCTTTGACTTAAAAGAAGGCCCTTTTATCGATCGGGAGTAAACTTTGTCTACTTTAACGCTTGGCAAATTCAACAGAAATTGGTATTCCTCGAGGGTTGGAGTCATGTCCTCTCGGTTGAATGTGAAACAACTATAGGCCGGATTCCAAAACTGTATTATGCTTCGTATGAGAACCGGATCTACCTTCACGTATATCAGATGAAATATATCCCCATAAGTCTGTTGAAAAGCTTGCCTCTCAATAAGATTCCAACTTTCCCAAATTGTTTTCAATCCCTGAAGCTCATTCTGTTTTAAAGAAGCTGGTATATAATCAGACAGATCTGACACGTAGTTCCCTGATAGACTATCTCCCTGCTCTTTCTGCTTGGCTTCGGACCAGTTCCTTACATCTGATGGATTCACTTCTTTGTTTAGGAAACTCCTTTCCATCGTGAAAGTCTTTCCACTTTATCGATACTCACAGATCAATCGCCTTTTCTAATGATATGTCTATGCAGTATGAAAAAATAAACAAAACAAACAAAACAGTTAGTCAAACAATTGTATAAATTTAACATAAAAAGATATATAAAACAGGAAATAAATCTATTCTATTTATGTATTATCTACCCGAATAATATTCCTCAAAAGGGTCCTACCCGAACATGCTCTCTACCCTCCTAAATTAATTAAATTCTAACTGCACCTAAATTCTAGTTCACATGCTTTAACAGAATAAATCTATTCTACACACTCAAAAATAAATAAATAAAATAAAATAAAAAGGTTAGAGGGTTTCTCCATTGTGTACGCTTATTTTGGGTACCTATTGACGGACAGAGGTTCAGTATGACTCTACCTAGTGTGACCGTTCTATGGTTCACTATATGCATGGTTTCAGCTCTAACAGGAAAAAAAGGACTCGAATTGTCCTTGATGTCGGTGCCCCCTTGGGCTACCAAACCCTCAATCCTCACCCATTACAGGTTTCAAACGGACCGAGTTCAATTCGAGGGGATTCACTGCCTTATACCCATACGAGGAATAAATTCCTACGAAGGTATAAGGTATGTATCCCATGGGTTGTTTGCTAAAACTCATACGAAGAATAAATTCTTACGAGAGTAAAGCAAACACCCTAACTAATTTGGATCGAAGCTCATGTCTAGAGCTCGTGTTATGCTAATGAAAGTGATGTGTGTGAGGAGAAACAAACAAACCTTTGACTCAAAAAAACAGGGAAAATAAAAAAAATAACACCCAACGAGAACTAAGAAATATCTGAAAAAAACAATTAAAATGTTAGTATATAAAAATAAAGAGATAAAATAATAAATAAAAATTCAATACATAGATCATAGTTTTACTAAAGATTCGAACTTATAATTTCCACCATAACGACCATATATAAGCGACCGACAGCCTGACTCTCTAGTTTCATCCCCAGTGGAGTCGCCAAGCTGTCATAACCATTTTTTTGTAAAACAATTATATATTATTTTAAAAAACGATTATGACTTTAATTTGGAAAAATTGGGGAATTTGGAATTAATTTGGAATAAATTGAATAGAGTCGCCATCGACCTTTAGGTTAGGTAGGTCGAATACCTAAAAACATCTTTTAAAACAATTTTAAAAAAAATCATTTTATAAGACAAAATTTGGTATGCGTTACCAAAGATTTGATTAAATGGATTCGGGAATCGGTTACGTGTAGGGAAGGATTAACACCCCACAACGCCCAAAAACTGGTACTGTGTCGCTTACACTTTGTCGTAATGGTAGAAATTACAAATCGAATATAAAATTAAAATATGATCTATTTATCGAGTATTGATTAATTTGCTTTGAATTAAATAATTAGAGAAAAATCTTTAACTCGAAAATAAATATCAAAATTAGCAATCCTCCGTCGGGAAAGCTAACTCGAATATTTCTTATCAGTTAAAGAATATTCCCTCCTCATTAATATTTAAAAAATGTGAATCAAATATAAAAATGAAAATCGATCTTCGTATAAAATACATCGTTATTTAGTAACATGCACCGTATTATTTAAATAAAAATAATTAATTAACAAAATAAAATCACTTTTATTTCAAGTTCACACTTGTTCGAATGTCATATCGGATTACACCACTTCAATAAAGCGATGCTTTCCACGCCCATTCAACAAATCGTTGTTCTTGAAAATGTTTGAATAAATAAAAATATTGACAACTATATATTTTTACAAGTTAAAATAAATCATATTGAATGAAATAGCATAAACATTTACAATACATTTTCACATATGAATATACAAGGACAGAAAATAAATTTATAGATATATATGTATATAATGATATATGATACAACGTGGGTATGTAATGAAACAAATAGAAAAAAAAAAATATTACGTACATTCTATAATATATACATGGATATTATAACATGGACTAAAATGTAAATATATAAACATGGTAAACCATACGCAAATAACATAAAATAACTAAGCTTTATAGACAAGTGACTAAACTGTGTAAATTGAAACTACAGTATAAGAATCATAAAACAAAAAAACAGAATCAATCAATGGCAAAAATGAAACAATACAAAAATCAGTGGCCGATTTCAAAACAAACAAAACAACATGTCTGATGACCAGATTGAAACAAAATAAAACAGAATGTCAATATCAGAATAAACTAATAACATGAACCTCCTGGTGACTATACTGAAAAACATGGTAAAAATAGGTATCTAAATCGTGATTAACCATAAATCTAGTGACCAAAATACAAACTATATGAACATGGTGTACAAAATACAAAATACATAAACTGTAAAAGTGACCAAAATATAAATATGCAGCTAACTATGAGGGACTGAAACGAGATTCACCCTATTGTAAACCTGAACATTTTCTAAACAAAGTAATAAGGGAAAATAACACATTAGATCTAGACACTCGAACAAAAAATCAAAACAGTTCCAACAATTGGTACAAATAAACTGAAAATGAAATCAAAGCTAAAATACCTTAGGATTTTCGATTCTGCTTTTGATTAAAAAAAATTCTTGTTACATCCTTTTTTTCCCCCTTTTACACTGATTTTGGGGTTTTATATAACCCAATACCTATGTAAAAAAATCATGATGTTGCTATTTTGGTTGTTGAGGTTTGGTGACTGAAGCTGCTGAGAAGCATGGACATGGCGTGATTTTTTTTTTTTTTGAGATGACAGGGGATGGAGTTCCAGCAGGGAGGTTGGTGTGCAGGGCATGGGTTGTGCATGGGGGACATCAATGTATGGAAGCTATGTAGGGACCAAAAATTGGTTACAACACATGGCAGATAGACTATCACGTTAGTATTGTAAACTGACACGCTAATACTGTAACGTTTAACAATGAAAAACGTTGGTCGAAAGATCACATTGAATTTATTTTCTGAGTTGGAATTTCATATTAATATAAAGAATAATACGAGAAACATATTGATGTTTTTAAAAAAATATATGGATCTCATATGCCTTTTTGTCGATGAAAATGTAAAACAGCGTCCTATCGGAGTAAATAGTCGTGTGAAGGTTGTTCTTAATCAGGATGAGGCTTTCGCTGTCTACCATTCATACAGGATAAAAAAAAGAAACAGATATCAAACTAGACCAAACTTGTCCTTTGTTTCATCTCTCTTTGTCGTTTGCAGGCAAAAACAACCGGATAACAATGGCACTGAGAATGTGGGGTTCTTCCACTGCCAATGCACTCAAGATTTCTTGTGCCTCCAAACCTCACCTCCCCCTCTCCAGATGCTTTTCCACTGGTAAACCCCCATTCTCCTCTAGTTTCATGTTCTTTTTGTTACCCTTTAGGGTCATGATAATGTGCTGAAATTTGCAGTTTTGGATGGGCTGAAATATGCTGAATCACATGAATGGGTAAAGCATGAAGGTTCGGTGGCTACGATTGACATCACTGACCATGCTCAGGTTTTCCTTGATGAATAACTCTCTCCTGCTGATTAACTATTTTGGTTAAATTCTGCCTCCAGTCCTTGTACCCCTTGGTTTTGCAAAACCTAATTGTTAATATTCGACTTTCAAAATCTGATATTTAATATTCAAAGCTTATTAAATTTTCAAATTCTAGATTACAAATGTTACCGACAGAGTTCTAATTATTTTCACAGAGGAACAGAGGGACTAAATTTCAAAAGTTTGAAGAGTAAATGGATTAAGCGCAAAATTAGACCATTTTCCTTTTACTGTGATATTCATACAAAAGTAGACCATTTCATGAATGCACCATTTGCAGGACCATCTAGGAGAAGTAGTGTTTGTAGAGCTGCCAGAACCTGGTGGTTCAGTTAGCAAAGGAAAAGGCTTCGGAGCTGTTGAAAGTGTTAAAGTAACCAGTGATGTCAATTCACCGATTTCCGGCGAAATCGTCGAGGTTAACTCTAAGCTCAGTGAAGCTCCTGGCCTGGTAAAGGACATTATTTTCTTCTTGTTTTGCCATTGTTTAGCAACCAACGGATAACTAATTTTTTTTTAAAAAATCTTGGCTGTTGAAGATCAATTCAAGCCCTTATGAAGAAGGATGGATGATAAAGGTGAAACCCAGCAGTCCATCAGAATTGGAATCCTTGATGGGTTCTACGGAATACACCAAATTCTGCGAAGAAGAAGATGCTTCCCACTGAAACTTTTTTATCATAATTTCGATTCTGATCTATGTTATTTGATCATTATTACAGTTCAACTTCTGCAAATTTCGTTTTAACTCGTTCTATTGTCTCATTCACGAACTCGGTATCACTGAAATTGTCACCGTTTTCGACTTTCTTTACCCAGAAAAGGGAATTTACAGACATTGTGATAGAAGTTGTAAAACTGAAAACATGGCAACACATTAGTAACTTATGTGACAAGAAAAGAAAGATTCTTTACCAACTGTTTAGTAACTTCTTTGACAAGAAAAAGAAGTCCTTACTCTTACATTTATAGATTCATGGTTTCGATTTTTCGAACTTGGATGTGATGGGTGGATTCGTGGTGACAGATTGGCCGTGCTCCACTTTGGACAAGAGTAACTGATTCTCCCTCCGTCACCAAGTTCTCGTCTACAGCATCGGAAATCCGTACGAGAAAATTGTTCAAGCATATCAAGTACGGCAATTTGGTCTCTCTGTGAGGGCACGAAACTCTTAAAATTGTACCGAAACAATGGACTTTGGCACCTACAACTCTCGGTATATTGCTTAGTCCGTCCCGAGGGAGTGCCAGCTAATGGCAAGCATGCGTCGTTTTTCCTGTAAGCTAGGGGCTACTAGAATGTAGAACAAAAGAAACTAGATTGGGTACTCACCACTAACAGCTTGAGTGCTCGAGAAAAAGTCTCCTCTGCATCATCCGAAAACTCCATATATATCGGTATCACACCTTGATAATGTGCCAGTCTCTGCTTAATTCTTTCCCTGCCAAGAATAATAATTACGGTTACACCACTTCATCATTCGCAATATAGAGTTAATACGAGACATAAGTCAAGATTTAAAAGTTACCTGCAATAAAGGGACCTCCTCGATTGGAAGTTCGGCGCCAAGGTCTCCTCGAGCAACCATTGCCTGTAATAAAAGTCCATGACAGCAGTAAAGTTTCAATTCAGATACAAAAATCTCACTCTACATGTCCTTCTAAAGCATTTCGAGATTATAAACACACTATTATCGAAACAAACCCCGTCTGTAGCGAAAATTATTGAGTGAAGTTTTGGTATAGAATCGGCACTTTGGATTTTCACAATCACATGAATGTCTGCGTTGCAACCTGCAAAAGAGTTCAGTAACAAAACAGTCACAAGTGTGGAAACCGTATATTAATATTATACACAACCTTCATGATTAAACTAGAATTATTTTACCTTTAAGATAATCTTTCAACTCATGGACTACTTTAGCATCCTTCACGAAAGAAACGGCATAAAAGTCGACTTGGTTGTCCACCCCGAATTTGATATCTTCCCAATCTTTGTCTGTAATGATGCATACGATCAAAAACTCAAAAAAGGACCGTGTTTAAGGAAGAAAATCGTCAAAACAGCTGTCTTAATAACCTGTCATTGACGGCAGGGTGGCACTTTTCCCGCGCACATTCAAATGGCGCCTTAAAAAATCTAATATGATAAAATGGGTGGTATTCTAAGTTGAACGTTAACATGTAGACTATGATATAGTCGGTGATCATTTTATAACTATTAATAATCAAGGGACTTAACAAAGAAACACTATATAGTCGGGTGCATTTTGTAACTTTTAATAGTCAATGGACTTAATAAAGCAATACCCTATAATCGGGAGACTATTTGTGTACTTTACCCATATTTTAAATAAAAATAAATAGAATGTAACTAAAATGCAGGTTATATTAAGAGAAAAAAGATGATCATATGTTCTTACACATATATTTACACACTTGAAAGGTTTCTTTGTCACGATGCTTAATTTCGTGTATAAGCACGAACCAAACGACCTCGGTGGCAAAAGAATAGTTGTTGTTCCTTAAGGTTTCTTGTTCGAGTACCATATATGTCAGGGGTGTGAGTCTTCAATATCAAATAGTTGAGAGATATCTTTAAACATATAACGTCTTGTACTCACCCCAGATTAATCAAAAATAATTTCGTGTATAATGGATATTATAAGATAATCAATGAAATAAGATTATGTTATATCTACCAATGAAAATTGACTATTATTCTTCGAGGTCTTGGTTCGAGCGCTAGTGGCTTTAGTAAGAATGATTTAGCGTTCATTTTAAATGATTAAAAATATTTAAAATATATATTACTTTCTAATCAACTTAATTTAAAAAAAAAATTGCTCTTGAAATCTATTTTAATTTGGTCCACATAAAATATTTAATGGTGAGAATGAGAAGCGATTGGCTAAGATCCACGCTCCTCACCTGAACATCAACACCAAGCAATGCATGTCATGGGGTGCATGAGATTCGGAATTCATTATATGCGCATAATGTAGATATTATTTATATAAATATATATTAAAGTTTGATATATTATATCCACATGTTTCCACCAATTCAAAGTGGCCTTCAATTTTCTTATCCAAACCCAGCAATTATGAGGTGTTGATCCCCTGTAACTTATCAGCCACATGAGGATATTATGTTCATTTAATATTAGTACGAGTACTCTTTTTCTTCATCTAGGCTTAAATGTATTTTTAACGAGGCTCGTATTATTATTCTCTTTGAATGACTATCTTTGAATATAATTGTACCGCTTCAAAAAAATCAAATTGATTAGATTTTTCTTAATTTTAAATTAGTTTAAATTTTGATTCTGGATTTAAATTCTAAAATTTTAAATAATTAATAAATTAAAAATTAAAACCATATATTTAATTAAGTTTTACTCAAGTTTAACACCTAATAAAATTGGGAAGTTGAGCTGACTGGCCTTTGAACTATTGCACTTTTAGCCTCCTGAGCCCACCATATTTGTCTCCTTCAAAAACTTAACCCCAAGCTTTCAATTTTCTTCTTTATAAATGAAAGCAGAACCATCTCCAGTTGATCAAACATCATCTCCATTTCTCTAAGCTGCAAAAACATGGCCTTAACGCTACGTTCATCTACTTCCTTCTTCAATACAAAAGAAACCAAAACCTTCAAATCTCCCGACGACTTCTCGCCTCTCGGGCACCACCCTGTGCTTTTCTCAAATAAAGCCATCGCGCCGTCTCCGAGCCAAGAATTCGAACTCCATGCAACGAGTTTCGCACGAAAAAATCTCGATCTCGGACGAGAGGTTACATGGTTTGACGATTCCTCACGCAGAAAACAACTCTAAGGTGCCGGTTTACGTGATGTTACCGCTCGACACGGTGGATTACGGCGGTCGCTTGAAAAAGCCGAAAGCGATGAACGCGAGTTTAATGGCGCTGAAGAGCGCCGGAGTCAAAGGCGTCATGGTGGACGCTTGGTGGGGTTTGGTCGAGAAAGATGGGCCTTTGAAGTACAATTGGGAAGGGTATGCCGAGCTTGTCCGAATGGTCGAAAACAATGGCCTAAAGCTCCAAGTTGTCATGTCGTTTCATCAGTGTAGTGGCAACGTCGGAGACTCTTGCAGGTATTTTCATCTGTTATCTCTTTAAACCCGTCAAAGATCGTTGAGTTATGGCTTTCAGAACATGAACCGATGTTTTCTTTGTTGTATTTGAATGTTCCAGAATTCCGCTGCCGCCATTGGTGCTCGAAGAAATCAGCAAGAACCCGGACCTTGTGTACACTGATCGGTCGGGACGGAGGAACCCTGAGTACATCTCGTTGGGATGTGATTCGATACCGGTTCTCAGGTGGCGAACGCCAATTCAGGCATATACCGATTACATGAGGAGCTTCCGTGATAGGTTCGGAGATTACTTGGGACGAGTTATTGTGGTAAGTCATTATATCGGACGTACGATTTTATGTTAAATACGAATTTTGTGACTAAATGTAAATTTGTTACAGGAAATACAAGTAGGGATGGGTCCCTGTGGGGAACTGAGATACCCGTCTTATCCGGAAAGCAATGGAACATGGAGATTTCCTGGAATTGGAGAGTTCAGTGCTATGACAAGGTAAATCTAATAACTTATGGTGAAATGAATTCCATATTTTGAATGATCAGGACTTAGATCGATGTTGTTAAATGTTGAAACACAGTATATGAGAGCCTCACTTGAAGCAGCAGCACTAACCATGGAGAAGAAAGAATGGGGAAAAAGTGGACCACGTGGAACACCGAGTACGGACAGTTCTTCCTCGAGTGGTACTCGGGAAGCTACTCGATCATGGAGATAACTACTTTCTGCCGCGTAAGGAACATTCCATGGAACTGGAACTAAACTATCGGGGAAGATTGCCGGCATTCACTGGCATTACAATACAAGGTCTCATGCCGCTGATCTAACGGCTGGGTACTATAATACTCGGCATCGAGATGGTTATCTCCCGATAGCTCGGATGTTGAGCAAACACGGAGTCGTTTTCAATTTCACCTGCATGGAAATGAGAGACTGTGATCAACCTCACCATGCAAACTGTTCGCCCGAAGGGTTGGTCCGGCAAGTAAAGATGGTGACGAAGACAGCCCGAGTCAAACTTGCTGGAGAAAACGCGTTGGAGAGGTATGATGGTGGTGCATATGCGCAAATTTTGGCCACAAGTAGATCGGATTCGGGCAATGGATTGAGTGCCTTCACGTATTTGAGAATGAACAAAAGGTTGTTCGAAGGGGACAATTGGAGGCACTTGGTCGAGTTTGTGAAAAACATGTCTGAAGGAGGTAGGAAAGTTTCAGACAGCGACACCCGAGGTACGAATCTTTACATCGGATTTATCAGAGAGAAGAATGTTGAGAAAATGGAGGCTGCTCTTGCATAGAAAATTGTACAGTCCACGAACAACAATTATATACATGTAGGTTTTCAATGTATTATATGTAAGTTAGAAACCAGAAATAAAAAGAGCAAGATTGCAGTCCGTATGTATATACACACATGCAAATTTAGCAGCAGATGAGCTACCAGTAACATCCGACCTGAACTATATAACCTTTTAGGCAATCAGTATCGTTACTTTACAAGCATTCACGATGCTACAAATCTCGCCATTTCGGTTTCCATCTCTTCCGTCAATGAATCGAACAAAAGTTTGTAAAAAATGTATGTAAAGGTAGTCAAAGAACAAACAAAAGATAGCTTTAGTCACTAATACAAGGTTGTCCTGTTGGCTCTGCTAAAGGATCAGACTTAATATAAACCAAACCTAATTTGATCTTCGCCTGCCAGTTCTTGATGATGATGTAGCAGCTTTTTTGGCCCCATTGCTTCCTTCTTGTGATTCTTGTATTGCTTGGTTCAAGCTCTC